CGCCGCCGCCATTGGCGCGGGCCGTGCGCGTCACGGCCGGGGCGGCGGGGCCGGGAGCGCGGGGCTCCGCCGGGGCCCGGCCTGGGCAGCGCCGGGGACGGCGACAGAGCTGAGCAAGGGACTGGAGCGGATCTTTGAGGGAAGGCTGAGGGAGCTGGGCCTGTTCGGCCTCGAGAAGAGACGATTGAAAGGGGACCTCATCCATGTGTAGAAATACAGGTGTCAAGGGGAGGTGTCAAGGGGAGACCCTGCTTGGTGGTGCCGGGCAATAGAACAAGAGACAGCGGGCAGAAACCGATACAGGACGTTCCACCTGAACATGAAGAAGAGCAGCTTTCGGTGCAGTGACCGAGCACTGGAACAGATTGCCGAGAGAGCTGTGGAGCTTCCTGCTCTGAAGATGCTCAGGGACTGTCTGGATGCCATCCTGTGCCATGCGCTCTAGAACGACCCTGCTTCAGCAAGAAGGTTGGGCAGATGAGCACTGTGGTGCCTTCCAGCCTGACCCAGTCTGTGATGCTGTGACTGTGGAAGGGGCTCTGCGGGCAGAGCCCATCCGTCTGTCCGTCTGTCCGGCCGCTCCGAGCGAGCAGGGGCTGCAGCCGGAGTGAGGGAAACCAGCCTGTGCCTGAAGGTGCCCTTTGGCACCAGGGAATGCCGTGCCTGAGGTGTGAGGAAGGAGGTGGCCTTTCCTGTCACAATCCATGGCAGTGCAGTAGGAGCACAGTAACAATCCTCCTTCTCTGGGTGTCACCAAAGGTGCTGCTTAACATTTATTGCAGGATATCACACACTTGTCCTGCTACAAATGATAACCTCCCTTTCAAATTGCTTGCTGGTACATCTCAGCCTTTGCCATCACATGCCAGTTCATTTGGAAGTGAGACAGAAAATCTGACAAGACAGGCAAGGACTCCCATGCCTGTCCATTCAAATATCTGAACCAAAAGTATCCCAGGCCTTCATATGTCTCACAGGCCAGTACAGGAGCTGAAAAAGCATTGCTGACCTCTTTTAAAGGGAACTGCTGATCTGCTGTGAGTCTTGCCTGAGGAGTTTCTAGATGCTGCTTAAGGAGAATGCGTCTGCCTTGCTCTAGCCCTGTGGGCTGCGGGTTCTGATGGTTTTGGTGTGCAGAGGGTTGTGGTTTGGAGGGTTGATGCACACATGAAATCTCTAGAATGGTTCCTGTGTGAGGCAAAGCTGTCCAGTCTGGGTTGTTTCCTGCTGAGCCCCCAGGACACTTGACTCACTGCAGTGGTTTTGGTCCCTTGCACAGACTGGGGCCTACCTCAGTGCAGAATTTTTGCTCTCTATTAGTGTTTTGATTATTTGATCATTGTAGCAAAACATATTTATCAGATTAGTACAGTTTAGATCTTAGAAAATTCACTTTCCAAGACTTTCAGTGGCTGTGACTCTGATACAATTGATGTGTACTCAATCCCGTGGCCACTATTAGCAGGTAGAAACAAGATTTTAGTTGTTTTCCAAGGGAACTAGATTGCAGAAGAATTTATGGAGCATTTCCTGTTTTTTTCACAGTTTGGATTTTGAACTGCAGTCTATAATCTCACAGGATGGCAGCAAAAATGACTGGATATATGAGGGGTTTGCACAATAAGTCATTTACAACGAGTACAGTTTTCCCCTGGTTATTTTTAGGAGGACATTACATGTGAAACCAAACCAGTGCTCTCCCTACCACTGGCAGCACGTGCCTTCTGTGTGGCCAGGGCTCTGCCACACCTGTACTTTGATGTAGAAGTCAGGACTGAATTGATGCCTTACAAGAACTCTGTCTGCTCTCTTCACTGCTGAACCCTGCTTTGTTCAATTGCTGGCGTTGCAGTAGAGCTCCCATTCTGTAAGGAGCTGATGAGGAAGCTTTTGTAAAGACAGCTGAATAGAAACGGATTTGCACTGGGTTAATGGGAACGTCCCTTCCAGTCTGTGAAGGGTGCACACTGGGTCTTCTCTAAATGGCTGAGAGAAAGAGAAAGAAAACACACAGATATCCGTCCTCACTTCTGTCCTTCAGTCCCGTGGTTACTGCATGACTCAGGAAGAAGGAATTTTCTCCAGTGAACCAAAGCCTGGTCAAGATATCTTCAATCCTATTTCACTGCTTTGCAGTCAGAGGGGGTTTGTGTCCTGCTCTTGGCTCTTCCATGCTTTCCCAAACCTCTCTTCTTTAAAAGAGGGATTTTTCCTTGTTAATTAACATTCATTTTAAGGAAGTATCTTTCCCCTAATGAGGAAGTGCTGCATTGCATTTGTGTCTTAATATTTTTTCATTCAAAACCCTCATGCAATATTTATACTGCTACAGTTAAAGTAAGCAAGAGAGCCCTCAGAAGAGGGGCCCCTTCCAGCTGGGTCACCTGCCAACAGAGGAAGGGGACAGAGGGCAGGAGGGCAGGGATCCCCTCACCATCCCGAGGTCATGTCCACTGATGCTGGCACTGTTTGCCTTTGGGGTGCTGTGATCTGTGTCCCCGTCTGTTTCATGAATTTGTTTCCTTTTGAGACAAATTCTTTAATGACTTTTGGTTTTTATGTTCCCCCCCCTTTCCTATGCAATGCTGCACAGGACCTGTCATGGGACAGAGTCACAGGGTTTGTGTTTCTCCCCCTTCCTATGCAATGGGGCTAACCCTTCCCTGCTGCACAGGACCTGTCATGGGACAGAGTCACAGTGTTTGCCATAGTGATAAGGCTGTGCTGGGGCCTGCAGGGAAGGACAAACCAGGGATTTCCAAACCAGCAGATTTGGTGAGTCAGACAGCGCAGGGGATAAAGGTGTGGAGGGAAGAGGCAAGAGTTTTAGCTGGACTAAAAGACATTTAAGATCTTTACAGCATCTGGCCTGGGCAGTCGTTGGGAGCGTGGGTTTCAGGAGCAGCTGAATCTGGTGAAAATGTTGTTGAACTCATTCCTGCAGTTTGCAGTACGGGAGGCAGCAGCATCCCTTTGCTTTCCCCTTCCTTCCTGTAGTGTTTGTCTCTTAACTTTAGTGTTTCTTTGAACCATGAGAGTTTTCTCCTCCTCTCGGTTTCTTTTCAGAAACGTTCCCTTTCTTTAGAACATTCCTGCCCTGTGCCACCATCTCAGAGCTCTTTTCCCGTTAATGATCATGTGCGAAGGGGATGTAAGAGTTTGCAGAATAACCATCCTCATCCTCACGCTGCACAACCCGCCTGTCAGAGAGCGGCTCGGCTTGGAAGGGAGCTGAGCTAAGGGACCGAGCCCCGTGCGGGAGCAGGGTCACCCCGAGCGCAGCAGGGCCGGGCCGGGCGCCACGGGCCGAGGGGGCGCACGGAGGGGCCCGGGCACTGCCCAGCGCCGCCGCTCGCCCTGCGGCTGCTCTCGGTGCCCGAGAGGGGCACCCGGTACCCTCAGCTGGGGCAGCGTGAGCACAGGGCCGCGGGGTGCCGGTGCGGGGCTGTGGGTGTCCGTGCGGGGCAGTCGGTGCCGGTGCGGGGCTGTGGGTGTCGGTGCAGGGCAGCCGGTGCCGGTGCGGGGCTGTGGGTGTCCGTGCGGGGCTGTGGGTGTCTGTGCAGGGCAGCCGGTGCCGGTGCCGGTGCGGGGCTGTGGGTGTCTGTGCCGGGCAGTCGGTGCCGGTGCGGGTCTGTGGGTGTCCGTGCAGGGCAGCCGGTGCGGGGCTGTGGGTGTCGGTGCAGGGCAGCCGGTGCCGGTGCGGTCCGTGGGTGTCTGTGCCGGGCAGCCGGTGCCGGTGCAGTCTGTGGGTGTCGGTGCAGGGCAGCCGGAGCCGGTGCCGGTGCGGGGCTATGGGTGTCGGTGCAGGGCAGCCGGTGCCGGTGCGGTCCGTGGGTGGCGGTGCCGGTCCCGGCGGGGCGCGGCCCCTTTAAGGCCGCGGGTTCCCCTGCGCCGCCCCGCGGAGCCGCCGCGCGCCGCTCGGGGAGCGGCGTCACGTGGGGCGCAAACGGAGCCCAGAGTTGTTCCAAGTTGTTCCTCCGCTGCGCTCTGGTTAATGTTTGTTTTTTCTGGTACACTTCAGTAGTCTGGGAGGGACTGAGTCAGGTGAGTAGAGGCAATGCTTTCATTAACGATTAATACATCTGCCGAAGAACGAAGTAGCCTCTCAGGAAAGGGGAATGCTTTGAAAGTTACAGAAGTTGCACAGCAGACACAGACCCCGTCTCTGAGTCGAACCCTGAGGCTATAGATTGATTTTCCTGTTGATAACTTGTTTTCCTGCAACGCAGGTATTAGTGGTTATTTTCACTTTGAATAGTGAGGTTGCCAGACTTCACAGATGAATAACTTGATTGAAGAAGGTCTGAGAACTTGGGAAATAAGCTCAAAATGGATTACAACTGGGCAAACTGTGCCTTTATTACACTGTGTGCATCTCACGGCGGGACGAGGCAGCGCCGGCCCAGCATGGACAGCAAGCCGCTGCTGCAGGAGCGGCCCCCCGCCTACAGCCCCGCCGCGCCGGGCGCGCCGGGCTACGACTACGGGCACGGCAACTACGGCGCCATCCCCGCCCCGCAGCCCGGCTTCCAGCCGCCCCCGCCGTACTCGTACCCGGGCGCCGCGGCCGCCCCAGGTGGGTGACGGGGGCTGCGGGCGGGGGTGCCGTGGCCGCGCTGTGGGAGCTCCCGGGGCCGGGCGGTGCGGGAGCGGGAGCTCCGGGCGCTCCCGGGGCCGCCGGGGCTGTCGCGGCTCCCCCGGCGGAGCAGCGCAGGGGCGGGTGCGCCGGGTCCCGGTGCTGCCGGGCGCCATCTCCCTTCGCCCGCCTCCCCCGGGGCCCCGCGGCTGGCGGTGCGCTCTCGCCGGAGTCCCGGCGGGGATCGCGGGCGTCCCGCACACGCGCGGGGTTCCTGCTCGGAGGGGTGGCAGAGCCACAGCTGAAACGGAGCCCAAAGTTGTTCCTCGCCTGCGCTCCGCTGCGCTCTGGTTAATGTTTGTTTTTTCTGGTACACTTCAGTAGTCTGGGAGGGACTGAGTCAGGTGAGTAGAGGCAATGCTTTCATTAACGATTAATACATCTGCCGAAGAACGAAGTAGCCTCTCAGGAAAGGGGAATGCTTTGAAAGTTACAGAAGTTGCACAGCAGACACAGACCCCGTCTCTGAGTCGAACCCTGAGGCTATAGATTGATTTTCCTGTTGATAACTTGTTTTCCTGCAACGCAGGTATTAGTGGTTATTTTCAGTTTGAATAGTGAGGTTGCCAGACTTCACAGATGAATAACTTGATTGAAGAAGGTCTGAGAACTTGGGAAATAAGCTCAAAATGGGCAAACAACTGGGCAAACTGTGCCTTTATTACACTGTGTGCATCTCACCTACCGTTTCAAAAGCTTTTTTAAAATATAAAGTTTTTAATAATAAAGCAGTTAAAGCCTCCTGTCTTCTATCTACAGCCATTAAAATTAGTCATTCTTTTGCTAACAACATGGACTTTCTTAAAGTTGGGGGTTTTTTCCTATGCTATCACTCCTACCTTGCTTTCCAGTTGGAAACTTAGTATATGCAATTAAAGCTTGAAACTAGAGGAAGATTTATTCTGTTTCAAATAGTTTGTGTGCTGGAGTGGGACATTCTTGATGTATAACATCTAGAAGTGAAAGCTGTGGTCATTGTTTAAACAGTTTTTCCCTGCTGCTCAGCAGCACTGAAACAAAATCTTGAAGTTAATTATTAGCTCAGTGTCCTTTTGGGATGGTTAAATTGATACTTGGGTTTATGGAGTGGCTTAGCTATTAGATGTGCCAGGTGTTCCAGTTCTGATTTTGATAGTGCTTAATCAAGACTACATTCCTGTTTATTATTTTCCATGTTTTGTTGTCATACTCGTAAATTATCGTTGTTCTGTGTGCCTTGCGTGTGGTGATGGAAGGTTTTTTTCTTGTTTTAGGGTATGCTGTTCCTCCACCGCCATCACAGCCAAACTACTCGAGCACGTACACCATCATCCAGCAGCCTGCCACCACCACTTCTGTAGTAGTAGTTGGTGGCTGTCCTGCCTGCAGGTAAAATGGCTCTTGAGGAATTCAGCTCAGCCTTGGGTTCTGTTATTTAAAATAGAGGTATCCACATGGTTCCTCGGTTTTCAGTAGCTTTTCTTTGTGTGTGTATTGCGATTGACTGAAAGGCAGGAAGGTCCAGGAGTGGAATGCTGTGGTTTGCGAGTTGGGAGCTTGTCCTGGTGGGCTCGTGACATGTGCTATAAATAATGCAAGACACTTCAAACATGAATCTGTTCTTTAAGATGGAGGAAGATCTGTAAGTGATACTTTTAATGAAATGGCACTTCAGTAACTGATGTAACAGGTCAGTTCTTGGGGGAGAGCATGACAGGAAGTCCTTTCTGATGTGTTTATGCCTGATGATGGTGAGTAGCTTGATTTTATTGTGAAACTCTGTAATCTTTGACCATAGTCACTTCTGGTTTTCTGGCAGTGCTGTGGAAGAACTTCTGCTGTTGTGGTGTGTGTTCCCATTCCCAGTTCAAACTGCAAAACCAGGCAGGGTGATTGTCAATATTGCTGAAAACATTGGTGGCTTAAAGCTTTAAAAGATCTCTAGAAGTCATTTAACTGCAGAAGAACAGAGAAATTTATAGACCAGACCAAAAATGTCAGTGTGCTGCAGTGGTGAAAACCAGAAAAAGTGGTCAGCTGTTACATGGAGTTGCAGCAAGAGGACAACTTCCCCCTTGGAGATCACAGCCATAAAAAAGGAAGGAGGCTCTCAGTTTTCTCACTGGTGCTGTAAGTCAGCTGCAGTCCCTTTCACTTCTCAGTTCTTCTCTTCCTGGGGTGTTGGCCGTGGCTGAGGGCAGAGGGATTGCTGCTGCACAACTTCCCCCTTGGAGATCACAGCCATAAAAAAGGAAGGAGGCTCTCAGTTTCTCACTGTAAGTCAGCTGCAGTCCCTTTCACTTCTCAGTTCTTCTCTTCCTGGGGTGTTGGCCGTGGCTGAGGGCAGAGGGATTGCTGCTGCAGTTCAGGCACTGCTCTGCCTGGCCAGCTGTGACTCAATGCAGGCTCATTCCCCTCTGTTGAAGTGTGCAGGAGTTACCCTTGGGCTGTCTTGCAAGGAGGCACTTGGTACTCTGCAGGTCTGAGCCCTTCCTTGCCTTTCAGAAGGTGTAGGGAGCCTGCCTGAGCAGCTGAAGGGATTCCAGTTTGGTGTGTGATGAATGTGACACAGGGTGTCATATGGCAGAGGCTGTCGTGGTAAAGTTGGTGTTTGTCTGAGAGTCAACACCTGCCTTCAAAGGTGGATTCAAATAAGAAGTCTCCTGTGGTGTTATGTAAAAACAGGTGCCTGTTGAAGTGGCACTAGTTAAGGCTGAAAAACCTGTACCAGCTGGAGCTATTGATCTGGAAGGTGTGTGTTTTAAACTGGGGGAAAGCAAGTGCTGAGCTGTTCAGAGGATGTGGTAGATCCTGCCCCTGAGTGATTCCTCAACATGCTGATGCTGTAGCTCAGCCAGAAGACAGGGCAGATGTTGTGCATGGCTTGGAGGGAGGCAGGCAGTGTATTTATACACACAGGTTTTCTGGCCCTGACCCCAGGACAGCTCAAAGCATTTCACTGGGGAAGTGCTCTTGGAAATAGCTTAAAATGGGTAGGCTCTTCTTGCTGTTATTTTTTCTTTTTCTGGAAGTTCATAGAATATGCTGAGTTGGGAGAGACCTGTCAGGATCATATAGTCCAGCTCCTGGCCCTGTACAGGACACTCCAAGAATCCCACTGTGAGCCTGAGAGCATTGTCCAAACACTTGCTGAACTCAGGCTTGAGGCTTCTGGGATGGTCTAGGAAAGACTTCTGAAACAATAATTTCTGCATTATGTTATAATACATAACTTTAGCCAAATTTTTGAAAATGAGCAGTCTGTTGTTAGTTGTTTTTAAGTGATCTCACTTGAATAGCTTTCTTAAGTCATCAGGTATGCCCAGCTGGAAGTAACCATTGTGGACTCTTCCCTAAAGGAAAATACTCTCCACAACATCCTAGTTTACTCTCGGATCCTCAGTTTCTGTTTTAGGCTTTGAAATAAATAAATTGTGAGGAGAACTGTGAAATATTCTGCATCAGGAAATCCCAAGGATGAATAAATGTATCTAGTAATGGTGTGTCAGTCTCCTTTGCCCTGTTACAGTGTTAGTTCCTAATTGTCCTGGTTGAGAAAAAACTCAATCATCTTTGACTTCTCAAGACCTTAAACACAGTTCTAGTTTACTTCCATGTCCTGGAAACCTATTTTATGACAAATGCAATGTGCAGCTACACTCTGAATACTGCCCTGAACAGAAAAGATGTTGAAGGGGCATTGAAAAATATTAAGTTATTAATGGTGCATTAAAAGCTTTGTTATTAAACACCAGGTCAGTTGTCTTTTTACTTTCCTGATTTGATGGTGCATGGTTGTTAGAGAAGTCCATCTGCTTTAGATCGCCAGGAAGAGCCTGTGTGTGGCTGTGGGATGATGTAACTGATGGAGGAACCTAAAGGCCATCAAGAGGATTTCTGCCATCAGGAGTACAAAGCAGTCTGGCATGTTCATGTTGCTGATTGAAATCAAAACCATTTCCAACTTAAAATATGTGGTCTTGAGGAGAAATATGCAGTATTGGTTTCTTATTTGAATTGGTGTCTATTTTACTGCAGTCATGAGTGATCCTGCAGTTAATAAGCTGGCTCGGGTACAGTCCATCTTCAGGCTTTTTTTATGGTATTTAGTCATAAAAAGTACGAAGTTTCTCCAGCAGCAGCCTCTCTGAAGTTGGAGATGTGCCCGTGGTGACTGGTAATTGCATTCCTGCCCTTCTCCCTCTGAAGCACTGCTCCATCTGAGGATGACTCTCCTGTCTCTTGCTTAGAGCTGTTCCTCACATCGAGCTCATCCATCACTGGTCAGTGCTGCTTTCTAGTTACAGACTTCAGTTTTGATGTGTCCCATCCTTCCTTGAACTCTCAGAATGTCTTTGGTGGTTGCAGTCCTCTTTTCTCAGTGTGTGTTCTCCCAGCCCTGATGTACAGAGAATTAAACTGAGTTGCACAATCTTGTCAGCTTTATGGCTTCTAGTTGACATTTAAGGTTTGGCCAAGTCCTGCTTTTAAACTATTTTATGTTCCCGAGTACGTGTTGAGTCATTACAGGCCCTGACTGTAGATATCCTGCTGTGGAATTATCTTTTTAGCTTGGAGAATGCAGCCTGGCTGCTTTACTTGTGGTCACTTTCGTTTTCTTTTTCTCTGCCTTTTGTTGTTGGCGATAACTAACTGCTCAGGAATGTTTGCTTTCCTGTTATTTAACAGAAGAAAGTTCCTTTTAAAAACTGTAAAAACATTCTCTTGATCTGATGACTGCAAAAGCCAGTTCCCTCAAAATCTGGGGGAGAGCCTGTTGGGTTTTTATTTTCTTGTTTAACTGTGTTCAGTTTCCTGGGAGAAAGAGCAAGGGAAAGGACCTCCCACTGCTGCACTTTCACTTCTGACAGCTACACTGCATCTCCTGGACCAGCATTGTAGTGGCTCTCAGGTTATGCCAACACTGAGGCTTCTTCCTGAACTGGAAGATGAGACAAGTTTAATTAAAATTGTATTTATTCTGAGATGTCTTACAGTGTTCTCCCTGCCACAGGTGTGGTTCTGGTTTGTTGTTGTGGTGGTTTTTTTTTCCTTTTTTTTTTTTTTTTAATTATTGTTTTGGTTTTTTTTTACTTGATAAAGTTGTAACTTCTCAGGTTCCAGTTGAAATTTTGTTTTCATCAATTACACACATCTCCTGAGGGAATAGACTAGAAAAATTGCACTTAGGTCATCAAGTCCTTCCAAATTTCAGCCTTCTAGTCTTCCATTATTTCAGTCACAAATGCTGTGTGGGCTTTGATAAAAGGCTGCTCAGAATACAGGCTTTCTATAGTTATTCACAAGTTAGAAATAAACTTCATGTAAATATTCTTAGTATAATTTAGTTATATTTGCTGGCTAAATATATAAGGAATTTTAAAAAAAAAGGCAACAGCGAAACACCTGTTAGAGAGCATGTCTGACAGTGTGAGCAGCCCTGAGGATTTTTGGTTTCCAGCAGCAAGCTGGAGATGCTTTTGAACCTTGAGAGTGAAGCAAACTCTGCAATGCCTTTGGAGAGGGCTGTGAAGAGGACAGGGAAGCAGAAAGCCTCGATGGGGCAGAGTGGGGCAGATGCCACGAGGGCAGTTTGGGATCCTGGCTGGCAGAGCTGGGACCTGCCCCAGCTCAGTGCAGGAAGCTGCTCACTGAGCCCACAGAGAGGGGGGATAGGGCTGTGCCAGGGTCCCAGATGAGAGCAGCACAGCTCTGGCTGCTTCTGAGGGGTTCTGTTCACTGGTCTGACCTGATTTGCAGACAATAATCAAAACACATTAATCTCATGAAGTCTCATTTCTTAGAAAAATAATGCACAGCAGGAATGTGTTCCCTAATGGGACTGTGTAAAAATAATAATCTGGTCTCTAATGCCTAGCCTGTCACTGGCCCCAAATTACAGCAATTGGGCAGTTTGGGATCCTGGCTGGCAGAGCTGGGACCTGCCCCAGCTCAGTGCAGGAAGCTGCTCACTGAGCCCACAGAGAGGGGGGATAGGGCTGTGCCAGGGTCCCAGATGAGAGCAGCACAGCTCTGGCTGCTTCTGAGGGGTTCTGTTCACTGGTCTGACCTGATTTGCAGACAATAATCAAAACACATTAATCTCATGAAGTCTCATTTCTTAGAAAAATAATGCACAGCAGGAATGTGTTCCCTAATGGGACTGTGTAAAAATAATAATCTGGTCTCTAATGCCTAGCCTGTCACTGGCCCCAAATTACAGCAATGTTGTTTCTTAGAATCACCATTTGCCTTGAGGAATACTTGTGTGATAGTTGGGATTTCGTTGCAGCAATGGGTTGTCCTGGGGGAGAGGAGGGAGCTGCCCTGGGTTGTTGCTCACCCCAGCAGTGCTGCTGGGGCTGTGTGTGCACACAGGGGAGGAGGGGGCTCAGCGGGGTCACCCTGCTGCATCTGCACCCCAGAGAGCTCTGCTGCTGAGCTCAGCTCCTGTGCCAGGCTGGGCTCTTGCAGCCTTGAGCCTTGTCTCCTGATTGGAGCTGGAGTGAAAGCAGTGCTGCTCCTGCAGCAGGGAGGGCTGGTGGAAATAATAATCTGGTCTCTAATGCCTAGCCTGTCACTGGCCCCAAATTACAGCAATTGTTTTTTCTTAGAATCACCATTTGCCGTGAGGAATACTTGTGTGATAGCTGGGATTTCGTTGCAGCAATGGGTTGTCCTGGGAGAGAGGAGGGAGCTGCCCTGGGTTGTTGCTCGCCCCAGCAGTGCTGCTGGGGCTGTGTGTGCACACAGGGGAGGAGGAGCCCCAGCAGGGCTCAGCGGGGTCACCCTGCTGCATCTGCACCCCCGAGAGCTCTGCTGCTGAGCTCAGCTCCTGTGCCAGGCTGGGCTCTTGCAGCCTTGAGCCTTGTCTCCTGATTGGAGCTGGAGTGAAAGCAGTGCTGCTCCTGCAGCAGGGAGGGCTGGTGGTTTGGAGGCATTTCAGTAAAGACAAACAGCTACATCCAGGCTGCTCCCACTGCCAGCATTCCTCTGCTTCTGCAGCCAGGCCTCTCTATAGGAAATGAGACCTAAAGCACAAGGAAATTCAGATAAACCTGTAAATACTGTTGTGCCTCTCACTTGGAAGTGATTTTTAAATATAATTGCACTTACATATATGTGTATCTTGTGCTGAGGAGGGCAAGCCAGTGGCTACAGAGATTTGGGCTTCTTGTGAATGTGGATCAACCATTCAAGATGCCATCAGGCTGAGGCTGGAGGAGCTGATAACCCTCTTCACAGACATCAAAACTGTAAACATCCAGTGCTTACTCAGTAGTTCCATATGTAATTGTTAATTATTTTTCTTCTGCAGCTGCAGGTGAGATTTAAACATTCTGAACATAGCTGCTGCTGTTGCATTAGCCAGGAGATGATGAAGGATCTCTGTCTTGTTTTGTTTGTATGTTCAAAATTAAAGATTTAGCATGCAGCTGCTATAGTCCATGCTTGTCCCTGGTCTGATGTTCCCATTCAAATCTAAACTTTGAAACTCAACCAACCTCTGTGGCAGAAGATGGGGTACGATTGGAAAATTCAGGGTGGTTGGTCAGTGATCTTTGTGGAGGACAGCAGTTTCCTCAAGTGCAGTTTCTTTTAATGTCTTGCAGAGCTTGTGGTACAATCAGCCTGTCTCTGATTACCTGGGGTGACCCTTTCAATGTATTTGTAAGGTCTAAAAAATGCTGATAAGCCCACATTTAAATACTGTGATGTAGTGATAAGTCTAAAAATGCACGTGTTAAGTCAGACCAATGCTGTGTTCACAGATCTCATTATCAGCCTCTCATCCTGAGCATTTGACTTAAGATCTTAATGTGAGAGTTACTTTGAAAAAGGGGGTTATCTGAAAAACAATTTGGTTTCAAGTACTTGTCAGTGGGCATAATTGACCTTACTGTATGGAGCTGGCAGCTGCAGTTATAGCTTAAATGCAAGATGCTGCTTGCAGTATAAATAAACCTTTCCACTTTATTTTTAGAGTGGGAGTGGTGCAGTTATAATCAGCTTTTATGTGGTTTATGCTGTAGAAGAAAATTTATGTTTGGTTATGTTAGTGAATCCACAGTTTGAATATGGACTCTCTAATTACTCCAATCTCAGGTAAGATATACAAGCAAAAATATCCATTGTCTCCCTTATAAAAAGTATTTTTTTTCCTTTTTAAATTTAGTAACTGGCTAAGCAGTGGTTGGGTAAGTGTTCATCTAAAATTAGGTGCTGACATAAATCAGCAGAAGCCAAGAGGTGTTTGTGTGGCTAATGCTGTAATCACACTGTTAGACATGACAGGAGCTCTGAAGCATCAGGTGTGGTGTGGGGTCATGCAGGCACAGCTCTGGTGAGTGTCCCTGGCTCTGCTGCTGGCCTGGCTGGCCCTGTGCTGCAGTGCTCCCCCAGCAGTGCTCCCTTTGCTTTGACCCTCTCTGGGCCTTTTCCCTGGATCTGGTGTTGAATATGAATGGCAATTTTGTAATTTTTAGTTTAACTTGGCATTTTGCACTACCATAAAACACTTCCAGTGACTCTGTTTAGGAGGAAGGGAGTTGAAAAATGATGTTTAAAGTGTCAAGGACATGTGCTGACCAGTGGACTTGGGCCCTGCAGGCTGCTTGGAAGGGGTGGGGCTGTGCTCATCGCTGCTGGGGCTGAGCAGCTGTACCCCACTGATCCCTCTGTGTTTGATCAGTGTGTTTATTCCTTAAGGTCACACCAATAGACTGCTTATACTCTTAACTAAGCACACTGGCTTACCTGTCACAAATGTAGGTTGCAGGGCAGGAGCTGAATATGGAATTATTGAGAGACAAGGAGAGGATTTCAAAAGAGTAATGAAGTTGGGTGCCTGCAGGAGGGAACTGCTCAGTGTGTGTGGAAGGAAAAGAAGGCATCAGTGTAACACAGAGCAGGGCAGGAAATACAACAGCTGTAAGGTGCTGTGTGCATTTGCCAAATAATGTTATTTGTGATGTCACTGAAATGCCTGCCTGGAAAAGGGGCTTTGCCTGTCTTGGGTGGATCTGCAGTGTGAAAACCGAATCTTGAATCACTCAGAAACCTCGAGAGTGTGTCTGAGCCTCTCCATACATCCAGTGTGTTCCTGGGTTAACCTGGGGAGAGGGAGAGGCCTCACCTCCTGAGCTTGTGCTGCTGGTTTCTGTTTGCTCTGAGGGTGGTCAGCATTTCGTGCATTTCCCAAGTGCAAATTGCCAAATTCAGCTGCTGCATCCAGACCTGATGGTTCTGGCTCAGCACTGCAGAGTCCTTTTTGCCCCTGTCTCTGTTACTGGTGTGTTCCCAGCAGTCCTGAATTCCCTTGCATCCCAGCTCTCATAGCAGAGTGTTCCAGGAGATGGCACTTCCCCGAGCTCCAGCCTCAGGGCAGGCACTTCGTTTTGCCACAACAGTGCAAGATTACTTGAATATTGAATTGAATATCTGTGTGCCAGAGAGATTAGAACAGTGAGAGATGAGCTCTGAAAAGTGTTCTGCTTCAAGGCACACTCCTCAGGACCTCAGATCCCACCCCTTTTGCCAGAGCTGGACTGTGTTTGTAGAGTGAGTTTCAGTAGTGCAGGTCCTGCTGTTCTCTCCCCAGGCTCCACAGCACTTTGGGAGAGCCTCCTGTTCTCTCCCCATGGCTCATGTTGTGCTGAGTTTGTGGGAATAGCCACAATGTCAGCTCTGAGCTGTGGGACACCTGTGTGCTGAGACTCAAATATATGTGGTGATATGAACTTTGTCTGTTTTTTAGTTGTCTGAAAAGAATGTTATCTGAGGACATGAAATGATAAAGGTACTGCTGGGATCAATGGTAACCTGACAGTTCCTTTATTTTATACCAGATACAGAATTAACTTCTATCCCTGCAAACAGAAATAAAGTGCATTAAAGTGAGGGAAAGCTTAAGGGGAACATGAACTTGCATAAGCAGCAGAATAAGAACACTTGGAGAAGCCTTTGGCTTCTGATGGTGGTTGAGGGGAAGGGGAATGGTTCCCAGGTCTAATCAAGTTTCAGTGTTTCAGGCAGTTGCTGTAAGGAAATGGTCTCTTGAGCCTGTGCCTTCCTTCCTTCGCTCTGTTTACACATCAGGAGCTTGTCCCTGACTGCTCCCGGGGGAACAGCAGCTTGTTGGCCTTGGCACCCTGCTCACAGCCTCTCCTCAGGGTCACTCAGCTCTGTTTGCCTTGACTTCCACTGTACCAGGAGGATACATCTTGTTCAAGTGTTTTGCTAAACTCCAGATCTTGACTGTTTAATGTAACTGCACAAATTCCTAAAGTCTGAATTCTCTGGTTTACTGTCTGTCTTCATTTTGGGGGATGCTCAGATACAGCACTTCAGAAAGGAGTCAGGGATTGAAATGGAGGTAAATTTCTGCAGTCATAGGACTGTGCTGAAACAAAATTTCTGCGTGGTCATGGAGTTGGGAGTCAGCTGGAGCCATGTGACATCAATAATTAGTTCCTCTGCAGTTGTAAAGAGAGATCAGTTTTGAGAAGTAAAAACCAGGAACAAACCCCAAACCTTCTCCTTTATCTTGCTCTATAAAATGGTGTGGTTTCTCATGACTGCTGAAGCACTGAGTGGTGATTTGGGGCAGACTTGTTGACTGTCCTTTGACTGAGTCTTTTTCCCTTTTTGCAGGGTTGGCGTGTTGGAGGACACCTTCACCTGTCTTGGTGTTTTGTGTGCCATTGTATTCTTTCCAATTGGGATTCTGTTCTGCCTTGCACTGAGGCAGAGAAGATGCCCCAACTGTGGGGCAGCTTTTGGCTGAGGGGCTGAACGTGGACGTGCTTACTGAAGCTACAACTGTTAGCATACTCTTTCTAATGTAAATGTCATGTACAATCATTTTATTTGCTTCAGACCTGTTTTGTAAAGTGTGAAGGAATTTAGTCTCTTGCATGTAATTTAAACTTAATCTTTTATGAGCATGTGCATTGCAAAACATGAAAACCTGACTTGTTTTCCATGTTTAGTGGCACCTGTTGAAAACTAAATAAAACTGCTTTTCCTTTTGCAATCCTCAACTTGTGGCTGGATTATTAAATATGTTACTGGCGTGTCTGGTATGGTCTGAAAGCAGAGTAGTAATCCTGGCTACAACAAAGGGTATTTGCCAGAATCCTTATGATGATGATAAATGATGTTTAAGACTGTACATGTTTAGGGCATCAGGTATTTGAGGGAAGAGTTGTAAGTGCTGTGTGTGCTACCTCTATGGCAACAGCTCCTCTCCCCCTCTGCAGGCACAAGTATTAACACACAATCAGAGCCCTGTTTTAATTAGTGAGGGTTTTGCTTCATGCAGGGGCTGGTGTTGGTTCACAGACAGCAGGAAGAGGTTGGGGCACTGCCAGCTGTGAGCTGCCCTGAGTAAAGGCTTTTACATCTTAGACTGTTGAATTCTGATACTGAATTATTGAAAGGCTGAGTTGCCTGTGCTGTGCTGTAGAAGATTATTGAAAGCTCAGCCAGGCTAGGCTGAGTTGCCTGTGCTGTGCTGTAGAAGATGGGCTGAGGTGAGTTCCCCCTCTGAAAAGCTGGTGTTCCAGGTGGGCAGGGTGGGTGTTTGTGCAGGGCACTCTGGCAAACTGAGCTTGGCCTTGAACTTGAAAGGCAGGGGGAGAGCAGCCAGCACAGGCTCAGAGACTATTTTTTGATATTAAGTAACTGAAAGGCATTTCACATGACTTGAATTCACTGTTTATAGTTGTAGAAGTAGGCACCACTAAACGAATGAGCCAGGGGATGCTACAGGAAACATGGGCATGTGTAAAATGGAATGATTTAGAGTGAGGATTAATCCCAGGCACTGCTCTGCTCTGGCTGAAGTTAAAAGCTCAGTTTCACTTAATTCAGCCACTGCACTGTGCCAGGCTCAGGCCTTTGCTCAGCTCCTTAACCAAAAATTTTCAACTTTAAGATGTTTTTCTTTTGGGTAGGCTACAGTAATGGAGGAACTTCAAAGGCAGCTTTTTATATTGGCATTTGAGAGAAGAACATGGCACTGCTTTATTATGACCTTTTATCAGACTAAAGATTGACAACAGTTTTTAAAGACAAAATTATCACTGAAGAACGTGTTGACAGTGTAACATTAGACTGCAAATGAGTTTCTGTTGACTTGAAATTTGTGTGTGAACATTAAGCAAGGCATTTCAAGTTGTCTATTCTTAAGGGGATAAATATTTATTTATAACCTAAGGTATCTTTCTTACACAAAATATCATATAATCATTTATACAAGCAATTCTCTATTCTGGAATAAGGCAGTTGTTACATTCTTCTTTTTGAAAAAAAAAATCACTGTTATCTTCTTTAGGTGACATATGCAGGCTTATAGTCTAGAACTTACCATTGCAGCTTCCAAGTAATGAATGCCAAAGATTCTGAGCTATTACTTATTCTGATTCACTAGAGTATCCAGACTATCTCCAGTATTTTCACAATTCCTACTACAAAAAAAGGCAGACTGTAAAATCAAGCCCGAGTGCTCAAGCACTAGCCCAAAGCAATTACCTCATTAGAAACTACAAGTTTAAAAAACATCAGAGCTCCATTCCAGTATGTGTCTATTGTACAGTAATTACATTTAAATAAATTTTTAGGACAAGCTGAGATAGTAATTGTCATTGCTGAGCCTGGGTGTTGGCAGGGAGCAGCAGGCGTGTCTGGCTCATCGGATGATGGGTGCTGATCTGTCGTTTGTCACCGTGGGTCGCAGTTTCACCGTTGCAAAGGGGTTTTCTCCACTGGAAAGAAATGCATGAAGTTACTTGAAGGCTTTGTGCAATCCAACCCCACATTTATTCATCAGCTCCTTCACTGTCAAACAGTAAGTTGTGGTTCTGAGACTCAGGGATTCTGTGCAACTCTTAGTTTAACCTGAATTTCTAAAACCAGGTTACATACGAAGAATCACTTTTCAGTGAGCCAAAAATATGGGAAGTTAATGCCCAGTTATGTCTGGACTTTTTTTAATAGCTCCCAGTCTTGAAAGATTTTTCCTTTTAACCCTCAAAGTCAGTTAAAGAAAGGTTTAAAGTCCTGCTCCCTGTCAAGCAACTGGAGAAACAAGTTTTTCTGAGAAGGGCCTGTGTAGTGTGCTGCACTTGATGCCACCCTTGAGGAAAGTGCAACTAATTTTAGCCATATTGTTCTAGGAGTACCTGGGAAAGGTCACAGAGAAATTAATGATAAACATCTTTATTTCCCCTTATAATCAATAAAATAAGCCAATATAAAACCACAACAAAATCAGTGTAAAACTATTTTACCTTAGAAAAGGTGGTTTTATAATGCCATTCATGTCAGGTTTCTGTAAAAAAAAAAAGATATATATTCACATGAATTTGTAGAAATATGCTACAGGTGATCTTGCTGTCCTGCTAAGGGAAAGAGACCCTGTAATTAATCTGTAGGGCCAGTTTGGTTTTAATACTTCAAATTTCAGTGCTGAACCAAAGCCTGTCAGGCTTTCCATTCCAGGCTGTGTTTCAGGACCTCATTCAGGAGGTTCTTAACTCATGCTTGGTTTGTGATTCCAATGAAACTGCTCAAGTACATCAGCTGTAAACAGACTTAGAATTAGGCCTAATTAAGAAAAATTAGCAAATGCCTGAATTAAATCTTACTGAACACCAACCCTCCTCAAAGATAGGTCAACTACTATTTTTTTTAATAGTTGATACTGTTGTGCATATTACTGTCTTGTGTAGCCCAGCAGGAACAGTTTAACTGTCAAGAACCATTCCTCATCTCTCCTTCTTGAAATCCTGAGCTATTTTTTCTGTGTATTCTGAAACAAATAAGATGTCTTGAATCATTTCCTGCTTCTGCATAGGAGGCCCAGTGAACAGACTGTTTTACACTGTAAATCCTGTATGAATGTACAAGCCAGCCCAGTATAATGCTGGGCTTATTTCCAAAGCCTATGGAGATGTGGGGCTTGGGGACTTGCACGGAAGCAGGAAAGACAAGGAAGTTCTGCAAGAATGAAAATAAATAGTGACTTTGGAACAAAACACTTGGTTGCAAGTGCAGCAGCTCTCCTCTGCAGTTGTCCTAAGATGGGGTCACAGCAGCTGCTGTGAGTTAAGGAGGTGCCTCAACAAAAGTGGGCATTGTTCTGTACTCCAGAAGTTCTAATTTATTTTAGTCTTGCTTTCCCTGTGGAAATTTAGATTATCAAAAAATATGTATTTGTTTTCCACTCCTAGGAGCTATTAGTTTCCATTCTGGCTTCCAAAGAGATTGTACAGCTCTAATTAGAGCTCTGCCAACTGGCTGATCTGCCATTCCTCTTGAGTTTCTGGTTCAACAGGAATGTTAGTCCACAAGCCTTAAATTCATTCCTGAACCCCCTGACCTAATGCCACAAACCAAAACACCCCTTAGGGTGACTGTTCCTGAGAATGGAGTGTCCCCAGCAGAACACTGCAGGGATCCCGAGACCATTTCACACTCCATAATTCTTTAAGCTCTTTAGCAGTCACCTGGTCCCAGGGCACAGAACTCTCCCTGCTGGACTGGCACCTCCCAAGGGCTTTGGACAGAATCACACCTGAAGGCCTCAAACAGCAAGAACAGGCTAAGAGAGGCACCATAAATTCTGACATTACACCATTACCAAGGCTCATGGCTTCTTCATTCAAAAATGAAAACCACAAATACATCAAAATACAGATGCTGGTCTTCAGAATAATTTTAGAAGTTCCCAGATATTTGTTTTGAAAGTAACTGAACACTGAGATTTAGGTCATATTTCTTTATAATAATTTTATGCAGCAGCACAGCTTCATTCCTCACAGAAAACACTATCCCAGAAACATCACTGCACAAACTACACACTTCCTACACCACAATGTTCATTAGTGAGAAATAAACCCACTTACCTGAATGTGGATTCAAATATATATGCTAATATGAAACTGTTCTGGCTCCCCAAAAAAGTGTAAATCTTTTCTGTAGGAATATTTAGATGGGGGAAAAAAAAAACCAAACAGGGTATCCCAAAACATGACTCATAGTGAAATGGAGTAAGATCTCTAACTGAGAGGAGCTTCACAAATCTCCAGCAACAACTTTCATACTTTCTTTCACACTTTTTATATTTGTAAAGTAATTTTACAAATTACATGTTACAGGAAGTAACCTTTTAAGAACTAGACAAAAGTCTGTGATTTAATTACAAAAATGACTGTAAAGGCCACTTCAATTTCTACTGTATGATTCACCAGGTTACTTAGAAAGCAAAAACATCTGTCAGCAGGTCAACCCAAAATCTGGATGCTATATGGAGAGACAAAAGATTTTAGTCATACCAAGAAATAATATTTTTTAGCTACTGGCAGCCAATTGTATTTTTCTTTGATTCCTGAAGTTTCCCATGGCACTGACTAATGGAACTTACTTTGGTACAGTGTCTCATATTTAAGCAATGCTAACCTTGTTTTATTTAATTTGGGGGTTTTTTTGCCTTCAAAAGGTGATCTCTTGCTTCAAGAGGCTTTTTGGAGAAAGTCTCAGAAGCATGACCCTTACATACACATCAGCAAATACTTACTTGAACAAGCAGCAAGAAAAAAGCTTGTAATTGCCTAATTTGATTAGTCTTCATTTTGAATCAGTTTGAATGCTGCTTCAATAGCAGAAATAATAGCATTGTAATACATTATCTGTTCATAAAAAATGTATTTTCACTTACTGAATACAGCCAGGAGTTTGTACAGCTCCCCCTCAGCAAAGCTGCAAACACAGAGTTTGTGCTGCTCCAAGTCCCCTGTGCCCCACAGCTCCAACATGACTGGAGGGGGTGGATTTGTACTGCTTTCTGTGAGAACTTCTTTTCCTGTCTAACAGATTCCATGGCTGAGAAGCTTTGCTGTGCAGGGTAAGTCTCCTGCCACTGTCAGTTACATCCCTGAACACTTCTCCCTTCCAGCTAGGGCGGATGGAGTGAAATGCCAAAACCCCAGATATTCCTGGAGACAGACGGGTCACAGGGCTGGGGTCAGGCACAGGCAGG